CAGGAAAGAGAGGACTGTTTATACACACAGTATACAGACAGAAATACTCCAGCCAGAGTGAGTAAGAGCTGGGAGTATCACAGTGAGACTGAAATATAGCTTTGGCTCAGACCTCGGAGACAGCCTGACTTCTCCCCCCTACCCCCAAGAATTTGCTTCTGAGCATCTATAACTTACTTCTTCACTTTCTCCCAAATCAGGAGTTAGAAGGAAGATGAACAGCATGTGAGAATGACTCATTAATTATCCAGGTGACCCACTGATGAGGAGAAAAAGTTGTTAATAAAAAGGTTCTGCCCCAGAGGTAGGGGAATGGTGTTATGTGGCTTGTTTGCCTTTGAGTGCAGGCTGTAGAAAAGCACAGGCTAAGTGAAAATAAGAATTTTTGAAGGTAATGGGTAAAAGATTTGGGGTTGTTGTGGGCTTTATATTATTTTGTATTATTTATAGCTGTGTTTGTAGTACAGTATATTTGTAATGTGAGTAATCAGAATATGAAAATTATTGTCTCATTACCAGGATAAGGAATTATGGTTTAGTTTGCTTGGATTTTGTTATGGGCTGGGTTTTTTGTTCCTCCCTCTCAAACCTTATTCTGATTTCTCTTAAATATTTCAATAACTCCATAAAAAAACTACACAAAGGCCCCACATGTTAATCTAGTGGTGGATGTTCTTGCATATTGCAAACAGCTGTGCTGGAAGCTAACTATCCTATTTACTCATAGATTAGAAATATTATCGTATTTTTGCTGTTCCAATTGTAAGAGTACTCTAACTGGACTGAATTTCCTTAATCTTGAGTAAATAGATAGTAAGTCCTATTCTTCAGTCTGTGTTGTGCTGCTCAAGTCAGTTCTTCCTTTTCCTGGTGCAGAACATCTCCAGTACTCTCATAGTAACCACAGAGTATCCCTTGGGGAATTAATTTAGAACTTTGTATGAAAACTTCCTGAAGTATTTGAGTATAAGATGCTGTGGGCTGCAGGAATTTAACTGTTAGATTTAAAATGAAAGAAAGATCTAACTTGATAATGGAAGAAGTTAGAATACAGATTCCTCCAGTAAGAAGAGACAGGCTTGGCCTCAAATTAGCTTTGAGGTAACAGTTGTGCTGTTTAAGAAAGCGTTATTGAGGAAGACCCACTGTGCCTCAATCCCAAATGTGTTCCAAGTAGCAGGGAAAAGCCTGCGTTCTTTTGAGTTCTTTGTATTTACTTCAGTAAGCCTCTCCTGACAGGTTGTCAGACTACTCTGGTTTTACAATGTCTCTCTCCTAAAAGGTATGCTTTAAAAGGGTAGTAGTAGTTAAATGTTAGCTCTGCTATTAATGAACTGTGGTCTGTGGCTCTCTTAGTTTTGTTGTTTGGGCTTTTTTTTTCCCCTCAAGAAAAGAATAAGCTTTTTTTCTTGATGTGGAAAAGCAGAAAGTGTAACTCACCTTGCTGTTGTCTCCCCTTCCTATCAGTCAGCTGTAGCCCAAGAACCTGGGTAATTTGAAGATCTCCAGCCTTTTGTGTCTCCTCACCCATCAGAATGTCTGGACGTGGAAAGAAACAAGCAGTGGCTGGCAAATCTGGAGCTACAAAAAGGCAAACCAGATCAGCCAAGGCTGGTCTGCAGTTCCCTGTGGGTCGTGTCTACAGGCTCCTTAAAAGAGGGAACTACGCTAACAAGATCGGTCTTGGCGCTGCCATCTACCTGGCTGCGGTGCTGGAGTACCTGACTGTGGAGATCCTGGAGCTGGCAGGGGATGCTGCACGGGAAAACAAGAAAGCCAGAATCCTGCCCAGGCACATTCAGCTGGCTGTGAGAAATGATGATGAGCTAAACAGGCTCTTTGCCCGTGTGACCATTGCTCAAGGAGGGGTTATGCCAAACATCAATTCCCAGCTTCTTCCCAAGAAAACTGTCAGAGATGCTGGTCCTTCTCAGGAGCAAGGTGGTAGCCAGTGAAACTTGGTTTTCCTGATCTGGTCTGTGCACTTACAGATGATGGGACTCAGTAGCACTAACTTGTATGTGTTTGTCATATTTCTTTGTCAATTGTCTTTGTCAATTTGTCCGTTTTTCCTGCTAATTTTATTGAATTTTTAAAGCTTGTAATAAAGTTCCTGGAATGCAACACTCTTTTGGTGGGTTTTTTTTTTTCTTAGCTCTCCTTCTGGGATGGAGAAACACAGAAAATGTCAAAGTCTAGCATACCACCCAAACAACTCTCTTTAAAAAGTCAAGTACATATTTACTTTTGAAAATGTGTTGAAATTAACTGTTGTGGAGCAGGCAGAGGAGTTGAGATGCACACTGACATTCATGTTAACTTTTCCTCCATCACAGATTCATAGTACAATTAACTCAGTTCCTGGGAGGTTGTTTAACTATGCTTTAGAAGTTAGTAAACCTGTGCTTTTAAAACTTATTGCTTGTAACACTGTAGTGAACAACTACCTCTCTTCAGGCTGCTCCAATAGGACACTAAACTTCTGTCCCCCTCTATCTTGTGGTAAAAACCGTAGGTAGTTTATTCAATATCTGGCATGATATTAGTGCTGTTGATAGAGGTGACTGTCTTGCTTCTATCTGTCCGTGCAGAAAACCAAAAGTCTCCACATCCAAACAAGCCCCCAGGCCTTTGCTGACCAAGTAACTGAAAGTATTCCCCCAGGAAAGTGCCTACGACTTTCTCTGCTCATACAGGGTGCTGAGGCTTGCTGTTGGACTGGAAACCAGGGCTCTGCTGCAGCTGCGTTAGGATCAGTCTGCCTCTGAGGCAGTATGTCACAGATTTCACAGCATCTCACTCAGAGAAGAGCTGGTTAGGACCAGCTTCCTAAACTGTAGCTGGAGCATGAACTTATTATTTGAAAAGGATCTGCCTTCCTGTTGAGTTTGACCTACCTCCTTTGTCCCCTTAAGGCATGAGGGTGTCAGAGCCTACTGCCCAGGTTTTGTGATGCTGACCGACATCAGAGCTGTGTGCAGCTGAGTTAATGACTTATTCCAAGCTGTGCTTACACAGAAATGAGAAAAGAGGATATCTGACCAAGAGGACACTGATGTCAGGGTGGTGGGAAGCTGGAACAGTAGTTATATTCTGCCTAGTTTTCAAGAGCAATTTGATAAGATCTTGGCTGGCCTGCAATTAATCCAGTGAAGTGAGAAAAAGTGAAGGATGCTATAAGCAATAGCATCTTATAGCAATAAGAAGTAAAAATGTCTGAGAGTAGATCTTAAGCTTTGTGCATACAGTATATGTGCTATATGTATGTAGCCTTGCACTGTGTTTACACCTGTAAATGGAAAAAAAAAAAAAAGCAGCTTTAAAGGAGGTACATGAGAAATTAACACATGAAACTCAAATTATTTCCTCCATTTGACCATGGCAAGGGAAAGCAGATCAGGAATGATTGTTTCTCTGGATGAAGCAAAAATCTAAAGGTTTGCAGTAATAGTAGAAAACTCAAGCAAGGTACTGGTTTTATGCAGTTTTAAGTGTGGCACGTACAGTAGTCTTTGCTAATCTGGAGAACTGTGTGTCAGTTATCGTGCTACTCCTGGATGCAAGCTAGTCCTGTGAGCCTGCTCTGCACCACACCAAACAGACCCTGCAAGGCATGGCCAGTGCTTAAGTAGCTTCTAGAAATGCCTTCGCCTGCCATTTTTTCTGTGATAAAAGACAGTGAGCTGTGTGGCCCTACCTTTACTTACACCCAAAGACAGAGTTTGTGGTGAAGTACTGGTCTAATTCAAAAGTCAATTTTTTAAGTATTTCTTTGATCAAGAACAATCTTGTTTGCTTTCTTCTAACCAATAGTTCAACCCATTTGTAAATTAACCAGATAGCACAGTGATCTGAAAACTCACCCCTCTTCACAGTAACAGAGGATAGATGTCTCCTAACCCAGCTGCTCAGCAAAAGTTCCTGTTGGGCCAGGGCTCAACTTCCCAGCACTCATGTATTGAAGAAAACAAGTATTCAGCTGTCACCATGCCCTTGACCCTAGAAAGGATGTATTATGCCTTGCAACACAGCTATGCATGACTTTGGAAAAAAAACTGGACAGTGTGACAGATGGAGGCAAGTCCTAGAAGAGAGACAACCCAATGCCAGAGGTCCTAAGCTTTCCCAGGCTCTGCAATATGGTCACAAAGCAGCTTGGACACTTCTAGCAGCACAAAGAACAGCGGTATAGGTTGCTGGGTTTAATTCTTGATGGCTGCAGCAAGGTGAGGTGTGTCCCCTTCCAGCTGTAACAAATGAACTGTCAATCAGAGATGCTACAGTTCTCTGAGATGTTAAATATTAGGCTTGTTTCCAGAGGGTATCAGCTAATAAGGTGCTAAGCAGCTCTACAAGGAGTAGTGACAAATTCTTATGCTCTCAGGGTCCATACTGAGTTGCTCTTGTGTTGGGATCTTGATTGTTTTTTATTTTGAGTAGCTGAATCATTGCCCACCCAGGTGGCATTAAATAATGCAAGAGCCAGTAATGATATGGCTACCACCGTGGAGTTTAAAAGGGGGAAGCTCTTACCAGAAGTTGTGATATGGGTAGTGGTATTAGTAGAAGAGAGACCAAGTCAATAACTTCTTCAGGTGAGAGTTTGTTCTTAAGAAATGACAGTGTGCTTTCTTTGTGTTAGGTAAATTCCTGAGTGAAATGGTTTTGTAAGTTCTGTATTTGGTATAGGGCTGCTTAAGAGGGCTTTTATTTTTTTTTTTTAATTTATTTACTTCCGTAGGCTATTTTTAAAAGCCTTTTTTCCTAAGGCCCACAAAAATCTCCTACAGGAACTTTTTAAGCACTTCAATTTGTATCTAACTCAGTTCTTCCCCACATTTGAGTAGAGCTTCTCATTACTTAAAAACAACTAATGATTAAAACTTGAGAATAAATCTATGTACAAGAGCAGAATTTTCCTATGTTTGTTTTCCAGTTACTTTGTGTTACGCATTGAAGACTAATAAGTACTGTTCAGTACCAGAGACTTTATGTCAGTGGTAAGTGATGGGGCTTGTTAGGATGGATGCAATATCATACAAGAAGATGATACTTGTGCATTTGTGGTAGCCTGATGCACAGTGTGCTAGGCAGAGGAATTTCAGTGTCTGATGTAAAACAAAGCTTCTTTTCCCCTAAGTCTTGTTCTTGATTGTGGTCTGTTATCTTGCAGCAATAGGTCCCCTCGCTTCTGGAAGACAAGATCTGTTTGAAGTGGTTTCCAGTAGGTGAAGTTCTCTTCTGTTCTTCTTAATTCAGACAAAGATAAGAATTTCTAGATCTGGTTCTCACAAAGTTATTGTTGCAGAAACTGCTTAGGTTCCTACCAGGGGTAAGTTCAATTAACTCTGCAGGGTTTCTGAACATTTGTAAGTACTTTGAAGCCTAGTTTGCTTAACCTCTCTCCTTAACAGCAGTTCTCCTTTGATACTCGATCAGAAGACCTTGCTCCTAAGTTCTACCTTACCCTCTTTAAAAGTTTTGAAAATCTAGCGGGTGGCTGACCTGCTGCTCTGACTGAGCTTGTAGATGCCCCTTGGCTGGAAACTTGTCAGCCTGTCCTAAAGCAGCAGCCTGACCCATCTGCTTCTTCAGACTAAACAACTAGTGAACTTTCTGAGGGGGAGAACTGACTTGTAAGGGAACTAGAAAGGCAATGAAATGAAGAGGAAGAAAGGACTTAAAAGCTGATTTTCTGTGTCTATTTTGTCTCTTTTTAACTCTCTTCTCATAGGAGATTGATATTAGAATGTCTGAACGTGGGAAGAAAACCACAAATCTCCATGTGCCAAGGAAGACCAAATCAGCTAAGGCTGGTCTGCAGTTCCCTGTGGGTCGTGTCTACAGGCTCCTTAAAAGAGGGAACTACGCTCACAGGATCAGTCTTGCTGCTGCCATCTACCTGGCTGCGGTGCTGGAGTACCTGAATGTGGAGATCCTGGAGCTGGCAGGGAATGCTGCACGGGAAAACAAGAAAGCCAGAATCCTGCCCAGGCACATCCAGCTGGCTGTGAGAAATGATGATGAGCTAAACAGGCTCTTTGCCTGTGTGACCATTGCCCAAGGCGGGGTGTTACCTAATGTTCTTCCTGAACTACTTCCTAAGAAGACCACTTCACATAAACCACCCCACAAATATGTCCAGTCACAGGAGTTCTAGCTGCCACCAGGCTCCTGACACTGTGGTGGTGCTAGTGCTGGCTTTCTCTACAGCTCAGTTTTTTGTGCTTGTTGGCATTTTTGGTCTAAATTTGTGTGTGTGTCTACCTGTACCCATGTCTGAAAAGCTGCTAAAGACAGACTTGCTAGTTAAGTTTCCCTAGCTACATCCTTCAAAAGAAAGAAGTCTACTTTTATTAATAAAAGTATGCAAAGGACTCATGTACATTTTATAGAATAAAATATTTGTTGCACCCATCAGCAGATTTTCTTTGGCAATGCAGTTATCTAAGGAAACCTGCTTTATGGTCTTTAAAGCTTGTATCTCCATGTGCATGGCTGGAATCTCATTATTCGGTATGTGTCGAAGTCCGCTTCATCTGGCCACTTCAGACCTCATCATGGCACATAATCAGTGTAAGTAGATGCACCTGAGAAACTTAAACTGGACTGCCTTATAATGATGGTAAAACTGATGAATTATCTTCTCTATCATTTGGATATGGAGGTAGGGCTGTGATGTAACTTTAGCATCACTGCACAGACCTTGTTCCAAAGATGGTGTTGGAGTTTCTGCACTGATGGAGTGCAATTCAAGGAGTTTTCTACAGACAGTATATAAACCTTGTCCATGCTTGAGCCTTAAAGATGTTCTAGAAACTCTTCATAAGAATTAATCCAAATATAATTTCTACTTCTCTGTTACTGAGTATCTCCTTAGCTGCTTTGAGGCTTGTTCTGTTTGGATCCAGATCAAGGAAACCTGTGTGTTAACAGGCAATCCAGAAGTGGCCTTTTCCAGGACCTTCCAAAACTTTTGTCTCTACCTATGGAGCTTGAAAGGCTACCTAAGCACTATTAAATTTGCACTCTGGATTGCAACTTTATGGTGGGGACACACTAGTATTAACCTGTTTGCTGTGCTGCAGAAGATTTCATTTAACAGCTTCACCAGCAGGATGCCACTCAAATTTAAGAGCCTTATAACTGTATTTTTTGGTGTTTGAATTAGAATAATTCATAACACAGGAAAGGCCCAGCATCCACCAGCTTCAGATATATCAATCCAGTCAGGTAAAAAGGCTATTTAGAGAACTTGCTGAAGACTGACACTATCAGCCCAAAGCTTTGGGAGCCTCTGTTTTGCACACCTGCTGCTGCTTTTTCAAGTGTAACTCAAATATCTATGTGGTTTTCTGGTCTTGTGAGAATTGAGACCTATTCAAGAACAGGCTGCAGAGAGCTCATCTCTTTTTATAGGTAGCCTAGGGAATGTAAATGAAGGTCAAGAAACCGGTAATGATGTACTGTGGGACCACAGCCAAAGGACTTTCTATATATGAAATTTGTAGCATGCGTGTAAGCTGCGAACACCCACTAGAGGCTAGTCTATGAGAAGACAAATGGAGGCGAGTCTATAGGTATCAGGTCAATCCCTGAATAACTAGCTGCTATGAGCACTGGAGATAAGTGGTTTGTAGTGTGGATAGTAGACAAATGTTGTTTTGAGGGCAGCCATAAGATCAGCCATTGCTATCTGTGTAAACATAGTGACCTTTGGCTAAAATTCTAGAGGGTGAAATGCTGCTGACCCATACTACAAAACAAACCCTCTGTCTTGGAAAGCAACAGTGGCTCCTTAGGGGGCTGCTGGATGTTTTTCTACAGCAGTTTCAATCAACATTGACTGTATGAGCTGGTTTTGGAGAAAAACAGTCCCCTGTTCCCCCATTAGGCTGATGGTTATGTTTCATGCTGGGTTGGCTCAGAGGCTTGTTCCTGGCCTGTCCAAGCCAGCTGCCCACATCATGAGTGCCCCTGCGACAGCATGGGCTTGTGCAGCTCCTGCCACACTGCACTGCTCCTGCTGCTGTACCAACATAGCTGCTCACGGCATCTACTGTGAACCAGGCTGCTGGGCTCATGTGTTAAACATTTTCTTTTCTCTTTCTTCTTAAACCAAAACTCCACCCTTCACAGTAGTGCTGGCACAACTTGAAAGTTTCCATGGGGGCAGGAAGGAGAAACTGAGTGAGGGATGATGGACGGAGCTGCTAAGGGAGAGGCTGGTTTTGATGCCTCCGTGATGTGGGCTGTGACTGTGAAGACCCATGGGAATTTCAAAGGTCTATGTCTGGAGTGAAGCTGTATCACACCAGGTACATGAGATGAGACATGACCCATGGAGCAGGAGTTTGGAACAGTTTCAACTCCTGTGCCTATAGAAATCCTACCAAAAAAAAAGGGGGTGGGGGAAATTAAGGGAGACCTTATTCCAAGTCTCAGCTCTTCTGCAGAGGAAGCCAAGCTTGACCCTGGCTTGTGTAAGGGAATGCCACCATCTCAAAGAGCTGTATGGCTTGTGCTGGGCCAAGCTAGCCAAGAGGCACTGCTGCCTCCCAGGCTATAGGACTCAGCCTGAAACCTGGTCAGAGGGAAAGCAGTCATCTGGGGTGGTGCTGATCTCTCTGTCTCTGTTGCCAAACAACCGATTCAGTATATCTTACATTAAACTCATCTAGCTTTACCAGGAAAGTTTATGTAGGCTTAAGTGTGACTGCAGGGTGGCTGGCAAGCTCAAGGCATCCTGCTGCTGTAGAAGCAGCAAGCTTGGGAAGATGTGGTCTGTTGCAGCTGAGTGCCCAACAGGTGATCTGGGGTCTGCAGCTCACTTCTAAACTGCAATGTGGGGAGAGGCATCACCTTCAACAGTGGCTCACCCTCATTTTCTTGGCAAAACTCAACAGATGAGAACAAACTGAAGGAATACTGGAACAAGCAGAGGGCACTGACAGGTCCAGGGAGAGCCACAGGGAGAAACACCCCTGGAGCATGCAGGAGTGCTAGCAGCTATCATACAGCTCTGCTATGTCTTTAGTAGTTAGAGCTGACCTATAGACATACTGGTTCCTGAAATATGCCTTGCTGTGGCTTTCTGTGCTCATGGCTACAGCTTT